CTAGTCGTTCGTTGATCGACAGGCGGGCGTTATAATTTATCTAGTAGCTTCGTAATGATCCGGATATTTGTAAGACGACTCGATGGGAATCTCGCTCAGTCATTGTACGCTCGGCAGGCAGCGGAGGGATCGAAAGTGGCAAAGGCTCATTAAGAAGTTCCCCTTCTGACAAACGGAAGAAACTTGCGAACTGGATCCTTCGACACACGAGACGCGCCGACGAGAGAAGGGCGCGCCCAGTAGCGCGAATCTCCCTGCTCCCTCAATCCTCATTTAGCTTGCACAATGGGACGCGGGACGGAACCGGGAGGGAAAACGCGCGCGCAGGAACAAAGAAAGTGCCCGGCTCTCTTCCGCAACCTTCGGAAAGCGCGCGTGATGGAAGGTTGCGACGGGTGCGACTTCCTGCATCCCGCGCCGAGGGTTGCCGAAAGCAGCCACCTCCCCCGGGCAGCGGGGCGCCAGTCTTGCGTTTGACGTCGCGCAGCATCGTGCGTACGATTACGGAGCTGATTGGTTATTTATGGCGCGGGAGAAACTGCGATCCGACCCCTGCGTTTACAGGACCGGCGATAAATCTTTTTGCCATAAGCAGCAGCACGATCCTCTCGCACACTTTCGTCCCCCCTTTCCTCCTCCCCGCGTGCCCGCATGGGCTTTCCACTCGATATGGAAATAGAGTTATAAAAGAGACCATAAAGGTTCCATTTTAATCGCGCGGCCGTGTACAATATTTTCGCCCGTATTTCCAAATTTATCCGAACAAGTGTTAGTAGAAGAAAATTTGCTGCTGTTGCTGTGCGCGTATAATATAGATTTTATATAATTATCAATATTTTCTTCAACATTGCCGATGTTTATTTCTACAAACATCAACAGAAACAAATGCATTTCTTTACAATTTCCGGCACATCTCTATATCAATTTTAATATATCATTTTAATCCGCGGAAACGACCATCGGTTTTAATACGAGCAGCGCATTCAAAAATATACGATAGACCGGGGAAGGGAGAAAAAGGGAGAGAGTGAAATTTATTATCGCGTCAGTTAATCTGCATAATCCGTTGTCGAGCCGCGGTAACGCGATTCTGAAAATATTGCTAACGCGTTAGGACCAGCGCCGCCTTCGCGTAGAGTTGAAACCGCGTTCTGTATATCTACACGTGCACCGTATCGCGATGCCCTCGACGAACAATGGCCTGCCGACGAGTAGGACACTGTTGTCTCATTTCGGTACGACGGTCGATGTGTCTGTCTAGCGTGCGAATAATGGACGAGGCCTACCCGCTTCTGCGCCCTCGGAACGAAATTGCGCGAGGCTTTAAGAGAAGATTGAAATTTGCCGTGCTAAACGCCCTGTTGCAAAACACAAACAAGTGCACGGCACACTCATCACGCCCTCATCTTTCGTCCGCGATTTCGCTTTGTGCCCGATTGAAGAACTATTTTCGCATGCCAAACGTGCCTTCGCGTTTCGAATAAATTCCAAATTCTAATGTTAATCGGCTTCCCCCGCTATTCGGATTCGATACGAGTATTCTGTTCTTTTGCAAAATGCTCGCAAATAAAAACAACACGTTTATTTTAAAATTCTGCTTGTATAAGACGTTATAAAATAGCATCTAGCTACGACAACCGTGGGAGTCGTAGCGAGAGTTTTCGCCGGTCCCCGAGAAGACTGGTCAGGGAATTCTCTAGATTGCACGGAATATTTATAGGTGAGGATTCACGAAAGTGAGATAAGTTAGAAGGAAAATGCTGGATGAGGAGAGGGAGAGGCATTTTCTTGAGAGAATCCAAAAAGAGTGTGTAAGAAATCAATATTTCACTGTAGCGCACCTCGTATATAAACATACGAAGTGGCTCGCGATTCCGTGCTTCGGGAATAAAATTACACTCGATTCGTATTTTGTTACGGTATTGCTGAATGTTTCCCGGGGTTGATTTATGGTCCGCGGAAACTCTCGCGATTCCCTGCCTCTTCGGATTCCTGCGTTATTGGCGAGCGATATACGCGACCGACCAAAATAAGGAAGGCCTTTCGCCTTGCCGCGAATATTCGCTCGTATTATTTTTATGCACGACATCGCGAAATGCATATCTTATTGCTGGATTCGAGAGCGCGCGACGCGGCTTCCTGTAAAATATTTAAGGCATCCTGACACAATAGCTCTCGCCACTCCCAGCAATTTTCATATATACTCATCTCAATTTTCTCTCCGCGACACAATCTCTCGCGAGTGCGAGCGCAATATTACGAGTCTTCACGGCGAATCCTCGCCGAGTACATCTGTACTCGGGTTATTCTCGCGAGGAATTCCCGGGTTCTGAGTGGCTTCCTTTCCGTTTCCATGGTGACCCATGTAGGGCGCACGCAAGCTTGGAGAGCTTATCATGATGTATGCGATAAAGTTACATTCTCTTTCTCGCTCTCTTTCTTTCTTTGTCTCGACGATTCTCAGACCCATGCGCGAAACTTTACGTTGAACTTTTGCACTACGACTTCTCCGATTGCGTTTGTTGCTATTGTTTTATTCCCGAATGATACGGCTATCGACCATTTCTGCCGATTCGCCACGTTAATTAATTGCATCTCTTGATTAAATGATTCTGTCAAATATACGATTCGTTCCGATTTATTACGGTCCATTCAATTTATTGCGTGGTGATATACACGATTATTCTTACACATTAATTTAGATTTAACAGATGTACATATTCAATATTTAAATTTACAAGTAAATATATTCAATATTTATTGATTATATTGTGCAAAAAACATTTCCGATATAATCATACTCTTCATATTGATATATGTATGTCATACATGTGTTCGAAGAGAACCGCGTTTAAAAAAAAAATATGTTTAAATAGTCAATTTTTAGTTAATCTTTCTAAATATTTTTATTTTTATCATATTTTCAAAAATGTAGTTTCTTGTAAAAGTTATTATTAAAAGGATACGTGAGATCAGTTAGACATGTTTAATATATATACAATATAGGCTGAGTTCCACTTGATGATCGCAACGCTCGTGAACATTATCTATCTTTCTTTAACTTTCGATGAAAAACAAAGATAAAATGATTCCACAAGCGTTGCGATCGCCAAGTGGAACGTACCTATAGTAAACTTATATATTGATGCATAAATATCGCCGAGCCAAGTGTCTGCTCGCAAATTGCGGAGTTTAGACAGGAAGACAATGCACGAAGGTCACTTTTACGTTGGGATGAACAATTTATGCAATTAAATATTTATCTGGTTATTTGCAGACCTGGTTGTTTAGTAAATCCAGATAAATTCTCTCGCGAGCGTTGGTGCTACACACAACATTAAACCGTGTTTTCGCAGACTACGCTATACAGGAGTGCGGGCGCCTACGCGAAAAAGGAAGGTTTGGCCAGATTAAATAAAGGGTCGTGAAAACAGGGCTTTCTCCCTATAGATAGATCGCGACGTGGGCGAACAAAGCGGTATTATACGCATATTTCATCGCGATAAAGGCATTTCGCGTGTGTGGGGTAGTATTTTGTGCTTACAGTCTCGAATTTTTCTCAGTTATTGAGATTATGAGAGCAGCAAGGAGTGGATGATATTTAATATTTATTTGAGACACACATAGCTTTGACACACACACTTGCTAATTAATTTTATTATACTTATAAATGTGTCTATTAAACTGAAATTTAAGAGCTAAAAAATTGTAGTTTAAATATAATTATTTTCTGATTTGTATTTCTTTTTGTTTTTCTTTTCGACTTTGAATTGCATATTTTTCACATAAAATTTGCAATATTGTGGGAATTAAAAAAAGTGCGTTATGAATTGGTTGATATGTAAAATATGTTACATTATTCACAAATATTTTGAACAATATTCACAAACGTTAAAAAAATTTTAATTAATGACAATTTTAGAAAGACTAAAACATAACATTGTGCGGGCGCAATTTAGCCTTATAAATATTATGTTATATAATGTTAAATATAAACATTATATACTATAGAAATAAAATACAATTGGTTACTGATTTACTGATTAACTAAGAAAATATATTGAAATTGATCCATTTTTGACATCGTGACTTGTTCGGAGCTCATGAGTTCAATAAATAAATATTTTTACTAAATAATATTGAAATTTTTTAATTCTGTAATAAAATTTTCTTTCTCTTCTTTGTTTATTAATTGTTTCTGTATAAGTATTAATAAAATATTGACAGACTATTAAAATATATAACATAGTGAGTGACGTTACCATTCTCATTCACTTTCTTTCGACACATTGTCTCAAACGAAATAAAAATACCTTTACTTTATTCAGCTATTAATTTGACCGTTTTGCAAACATGTTAATTATTACTTATTATTTTCTTTTTTACGTTTGTTCTAATGCTAATCGACGGCATTCCTCTTCGTATGTTGAAAATTCGACGTAATTCTTTGTCCTTTTGTTTACGTTAAGCAAGGTATCGATGATATGTAGAACAGGTATTCATAACGACAGATTGTCTAATCGAATATTCGGTAGCAAACGAATGGACCAACTATTCCAGACTGATTTACGATTGTTCATATTTTTTTCTTTTTTCGATCCTCGCTGACACACGTCGACAATTATTCTTAAGAGTAGATTTCCGGCAGACAATAATGTTGGCGGCAGTAGTAATCCTGACCATCTTTATGGTGACACCACGTTCCATCTGGAAAATATGGATCGATATCGTAGCTGAGCAATTCCAAACGTGGTGCGTAGAGAGCAGATGAATTTTTTTGTTTGCAATGTATAGCACAGGCCATCCACGGTTCCGAAACGTTATGAGAGACCTGAACTCCCGGTCCCGCTTTCAGTTTTATATGATTATATACTGTACGGCTTATAATACTGCTGAATATAATGCATTTTGTGGTAGTAAACTCTGAGGTTGTCATGCGATGTTTAGTGCAAAGCATCGAGTCATTGCACAGAACCACATCATAATATGATCCTCCGCAAAACGCCGTTCTGCGACTGTTATGTGTGCAAAATCGTCGTTTGACTTTTACGCCCTTGGATTTCTCCAAGCAATTACTTTGACAGGCGCCTTCTTCCCATTCACTCCAGTTATCATTTTTACAATAGTGGAAAATGTATGGTGGTTCGATAACGGGGACGCATTCTCCGCCGCGACATTCTTTCCCGAGTTCGCAAGTAGTTCCTAAAAAAGAATATGATTAATTAAGCTATAAAGTATTTGAGAGATCAGTAAGAAGGATCATACCTTCCAACGCCGGTCCCGTGAATTTATGTCTTTTCTCGTGTGGCACTTCGCACCGTAAGGTTTTACATATATCGAGTAACGAGACTGCATTTGCATTTTTGTCTCGAAAATATACTTCACATTGTGCTTTGGCAGTCCATTCTCTTCCGGGTAAATCGTGATAAATTGAATGGTCATATGCGAGATTTTCTTGTCTCGTACGATCTCGAAGACACATTTTCGTATTCCAGAGTTTTTCAGCTACATCATGGCTACACTTGGACCATGTTACTTGGCCTTGATGGAGTTTGGAAGATGACATTATGTATTTGTATGTATTACCCGGAGTTGAATTATCGGTATCGTGCACCATTCCTAAGCTTTGGAACAAATAAATTATTAATTTTGATACTATCCTTTATATTGCATTGTTTATTCTAAATATTTTTCTATTTAGAATTCAATAATAATTAACATACTGAGCAATTGAAAAACCAAATTTGTTAAAAAGTAACTTTACTTTCTGTTTTAAAATTAGGTAGTTTAATAAATTCTTATTAAACTATATCATTTATACGTGAAACTATAACATATAAACTTACACATGGCCAATCTCATGAGCTGCATTGACAGACGATGCAAAACCTGAGGATATTTCACCTGTAACACCAAATTCTACTATTGCGCACGACCTAACTAGATCGCACACACTATTGGTTCTGGCTCTTCCCATGATATAATTGCTCATCGAATAAATATTTATTCCGGTTAGGTAAAGACCAACGTCCCAGTGTTGCGGATCGTTGTCGTCCGGAGGATTGACACTTTTCGCGTACTTGCAAAATGAATTTAGCAATTTCTTAGCGCTGCCAAAAACTGACAAATTTGATAGTTGTTCTTGCATAATTTCCAAATATACCAACGAAATATCGATAGAAACACCCAAACTCGGGTGATGGTACAGAGCTTGGATATTATTCACGTACGCTAATATCATTAAGCGCAACATTTCTTTATCTTCTTTCAGAAAAGGCATGAATGTACGATATGCGGCTTCGTCGATGAAAACGCCTAGTTCCACAGTTAATTTTTCTTCCGTATTTCGTACATGACGTGGCTTCAGTTTTAAATTATCCAAGTTATCAAAACTTGAATCAGCAAATGATTGCAATAATCTTTTTATACAATGTGGTTTGCCAAATGAAATATTCATCTCTTCTTTAACGCAAAGATTGTCGATTAAGGAGGAAGACGCAAGGTCATCTCGCAAAGGTCTAATTACTAATGTATCGTCTTTCAGAAAAACAAATCCTTCCTATTTAAAACAAAAATGTGTTTGTTTTCTTGCTTGTCAATCTTTTATCTTATATATAAAACAGAGAGATATTTAAATTGAAAGTAAAAGTATAAAAGTTTTTAAAATATTTGTTTTCCGAATGGTACCACTGACCCATCCAAATTCCTGACAAAAGTTCATAATCGCAGTGCTGATATGATCTTTGTGAAGATAATAGCAAGCATTCGATGCGTTTAATTGCGATAGTCCTTCTGTGATGCTTTTTGCCCCATATTTCCATACTTCAAATGTGGACGATACAGTTTGGTTACTTCTATGCAAGTTTAATTGAATTTGTGTTCCAAAAACTTTCAGAGTCAATTGTATCTGTGAATTAAATGACAATGAATAAGGGGCTTAATAATTCGGAAATAATATTTAAAACGTTGAGCAATGAATAAAGCAGGCCAATAAAACTCACGTACTTTGTCTGCACTTGTCGAATTCCATGTCGGCAGCAATATTCTTTGGATATCTTGCGTGATATACGCGTACGTTTCATTTAATAAAAATATTAACACCAGTTTCAATATGAAAAACATGTTGTTTCTCGCGTTTTTTTAGTTTGAGTATTTGAAAATGTTGAAGTAACGTCTTTTTATATATCAAACTATTTATTATATACATACGTTATACTACTCTCACGTTCGTTTTATCTTCTGATCGCGTAGAACACATACCGACATCTATGTTTGGGAATATAATTTGTTTTGTGTGACATTTATTGTATATATTTCTTCTTTGCTACATTTACAGGGTGTTCTAGTAAAACGTATACACATTCAACAAGTTAATGTCTATCTATTTTACTCGTTAAAACATATGGTAATAAAATGTATATACATTTTATTGAAACACCCTATACACATATTTTGTTTTTTTTAGTTCTGATTCGTACATTTTACATATAATATTTGCGATAACTGTGGAATTGAAATAAATCGATTTATGATCGATATATAGAATATGCAACATTATTCATAAACATTTGAAAATTTTGAAAATTGTTTTCAAACGTTAAAAAATTAACGACAATTTAATAACACTTTAATTAACGACAATATTAGAATGACTAGAACACAATCTTGCTGGCGCAATTTAAAAGATATGTTATAAAAACAAAATATAATTGGTTACTGATTTCCTAATTGACTAAGAGAATACATCGAAATTTTTCCGTTTCTGACGTCGTTTCCTATTTGATTACGAAGCTCACATGAGCTTAAATGATAAATAAATATATATTTTTACTAAATAATTTTGTATATTTTTTAATTACGTAATAAAATTTTCTTTATTTTTTTTGTTTATTAATATTTTATATATAAGTATTAATGAAACATTGGTAGATTGTTATAATACATAACATAGTGAGTGACGCCATCGTTCTCGTTCATTTTTTAGATACAATATCTCATACAGAATAAAAATATCTCTTCTATATTTAGCTACTTATTTTCGCGTTTTGTAAACATATTAAATATTACCAACTATTTTTTTGTTATTTTTTCATGTTTGTACTATTGCTAATCGACGGAATTAGTTTTAGATGCTGATAATTCGACGTAGTTCTTGGTCCATTTGTCTTTATTAAATAAGGTATGGATGATACGCAAAACAAATATTAACGACAGATTGTCCGATCGAACATTTGTTACCAACCGAATTGACCAATTATTCTAGACTAATTGACGATCGTTTCTACGATATTTTTCTCTTTTTTCGATCCTCGTTCACACACGTCTCTCGACAATTATTCTTAAACATTTATTACTCTTAAGTAGTTTTCTGGCAGACAATAATGTTGTTGGCAGTAATAATCCTGCTTACCTTCATAGTGACACCATGTTCCATCTGGAAAGTATGGGACGAAATTATATTTGGGCAAATGCAAGTCTAGTGGTCTGACAACATAATCATTATATTGGCAGTATATAGTACAGGCTTGCCATGGTTCCTCGACATTATGAGCAATCTGCCATCCCGGCTGTTCTCCTAGTTTGATCCCGAATGCTGAATCTTTTACAATATTGCTAAATTCGATGCACTTCACAGTGGCAAAGTCGGAGATTGCCGTGCGATTTTCAGTGCAAAGCATCGAGTCATTGCACAGAACCACGTCGTAATATGGTCCTTCGCAACTCGCCGTTCTGTGAATTCCATGTTTGCAAGAACGTCGTCTGACTCTTACGCCTTTAGATTCCTCCAAGCAACTACTTCGACAGGTGTCTTCTCTCCATTCACTCCAGTTATCTACTTCACAATACATGAGAGGTGGTTTCTGAACGGGCACGCATTTTCCGCCGCGACATTCTTTCCCGAATGCGCAATAAGTGCCTAAAAAAATGAGATTAATTAAGCCATAAACTATTTGAGAGATCAGCAAGTGGAAACGTACCTTCCAACGCCGATCCTGTGTAGTAATATCCATCTTTGTGAGGCGTTTCGCATTGTAAGCTTTTACATATATCAACCAACGAGACTACATTCGCATCCTTATCTCGAAAATATACTTCGCATTGTGCTTTGGCAGTCCATTCTCTTCCGGGTAAATTTTGATACCGCGAATGGTTATATGCGACTTCAAAATTTTTCGTACGATCTTGAAGGCACGGTTTTGTATTCCAGAGTTCTATAGCTATACGAAGACTACACTCGGACCATGTTACTTGGCCTTGATAGAATTTGTAAGATGACATTATGTGTTTGTATCTATCACATGGTGGCCTATAAACGGAATCGTGTTCCATTCCTAAGCTTTGGAACAAATAAATTATTAATTTTTACAATATGCTTTACTTTGCATCGGTTATTCTAAATATTTTTTAATTAAAATTTATTAATAATTAATTTACTGAACATTTAAAAGAATAAATCTCTTCAAAATTTTTTTTACTTTCTGCTTACAAATTGTACAAATGAATAAATTTTTATAAAATATATTATTTATATTTAATTTATACGTAAAACTATAATAAACTTACACATGGCCGATTTCATGAGCAGCAATGTGAGATGATGCAAAACCTGATGTCACATAATCTGCAACACCGAATTCTACTATAGCACACGACTCAATTAGATTACACGTTTTGGTTCTGCTTATTCCCATAGTATAACTGTTCTTCAAATAAATGTTTATTCCGGTAAGATAAAGACCAACGTCCCAGTGATGCGGATCATTGTCGTCCGGAGGATTTCGAGTTTCTGCATACTTGCAGAACGAATTGAGCAGTTTGCTAGCGTTGCCAAAAACTGGTAAATTTAGTGGTTGTTTTTCCATAATTTCTAAATGTACCAACGAAATATCGATGGAAACACCCAAACTCGGATGATGGAACAGAGCTTGGATACGATTCACATATGCTAATATCAACATGCGCAACATTTCTTTATCTTTGTTCAGAAAAGGCATGAACTTACGATATGCGGCTTCGTCGAGAAAAACAGCCAATTCTATAGTTAATTTTTCTTGCGTTTTTTGATCTCGCTTTAGTCTCATATTGTCCAATTTATGAAAACTTGAATCAGCAGATGATTGCAAAGATCTTTTAATTAGGTAAGATTTGCCAAATGAAATATTAAACTCTTCTTTTACACAAAGATCGTTGATTGAGAACAAAGACGCATAGTCATTCCGCAAAGGTCTAATTTCCAAAGTGTCGTTTTTCAGAAAAATAAATCCTTCCTAGTTTGGAAATATTTACATTAACGTTCTTATGCGTCATGCTTATATTTACAAAAAAGAGAATTTGAGATTAAAAGTGAAACCTATTTGTTTTTCATATAGTATTACTGACCCATCCATGTTCTTGACAAAAATTTATGGCCGCTGTGCTGATATGATCTTTGTGAAAATAATAACAAGGATTCGATGCGTTTGATTGAAACAGTTCTTCTGTGATCCTTTTTGCGTCATATTTCCATTCTTTAAACGTGGACGATACAATCTGGTCGCTGCTATGCAAGTTTAACTGAATTTGTGTTCCAAAAACTTTCAGAGTTAGTGGTATCTGCAAATTGAAAATCAATGAATAAAAGACTTGATTATTCTCCAATAATATTTCGGATACTGCGCAATAAATAAAGCAGTTCAGTAAAATGCACGTACTTTTTCTGCGCTTGTCGGGTTCCACGCCGGCAGCAATATTCTTTCGATATCTTGCGTGATATACGCGTATGTTTTATTCAATAAAAATATTAACATTAATTTCGATATGAAAAACATATTGTTTCTTGCGTTTTTCAATCTTTAGATAATTGAAAAAGCTTTATTAACGTCTTTTTATATATATGAAATTACTTTATTACATACATACGTTATAATACTCTCATGTCCGTTGCATCTTCTGATCGCGTATAGAACAGAGACTGGCATTTACGTTTAGGAATATCATGTGTCGTGACACTTATTGTATATATACATTCTATGCTACATATACAGGATGTCCCAAATATATGCATATTAACAAGTTATCGTTTGTCCATTTTACTAAAATATGAGGTAAAATGTATATAGGTACATTTTGTTGGTTCGTCCTTAATTATCGTATTTCTGTTTTTTTTTTCTTTCAATTCTGAATTATATATTTTTTATATGAAATTTGAAATAACGTGGGAATTAAAAAAAATGCTTCATGAATTATGGTTTATATGTAAAATATGTAACATTATTCACAAATATTTTCAGCAATATTCGCAAACGTTAAAAAAATTTTAATTAATAACAATTTTAGAAAGACTAGAACATAACATTGTGCGAACCAATTTAGCTTTATAAATATTATATTATATATTATTAAATATAAATATCATATGCTATAGAAATAAAATACAATTGGTTATTGATTTACTAATTAACTAAGAAAACTAAGAAAATATTGATCTTTATCCATTTCTGACATCGTGCTATATTCGGAGCTTATGAGATCAATAAATAAATATTTTTACGAAATACATAATATTGAAATTTTTAAATTGTGTAATAAAATTTTCTTTCTCTTCTTTGTTTATTAATTGTTTCTGTATAAATATTAATAAAATATTGACAGACTATTAAAATATATAACGTAGTGAGTGACGTTACCGTTCTCGTTCACTTTCTCTCGACACATTATCTCAAACGAAATAAAAATACCCTCACTTTATTCAGCTATTAATTAGACCGTTTTGCAAACATGTTAATTATTACTTATTATTTTTTGTTGTCTTTTTTACGTTTTTTGTAATGTTAATCGACGGAATTCCTTTTCGTATGTTGGAAAGTCGACGTAATTCTTCGTCCATTTGTTTACGTTAAGCAAGGTATCGATGACATAAAACAGATATTCATAACACGACAGATTTTTCGATCAAATATTCGGTATCAAACAAATGGACCAACTATTCGAGACTGATTTTCGATCGTTTCATACTTTTCTCTTTTTTCGATTCTCGTTGACACAAGTCAACAATTTTTCTTAAGAATATCTTTCCGGCAGACAGTAATGTTGGCGGCAGTAATAATCCAGACCATCTTTATGGTGACACCACGTTCCATCTGTGTAGTATGGATCGATATTCAAGTTGAGCATTTCTAAACGTGGTGCGTAGATAGTAGATGAATTCTTTCGTCGGCAGTGTATAGTACAGGCCTTCCACGGTTCCGCGACATTATAAGGGACCTGAACTCCCGGTCCCGCTTCCAATTCGACATTATATGCTGCACGCTTCATAATACGGCTGAATTTAATGCATTTATTGGTAGTTAACTTGGAGATTGTCGTGCGATTTTCAGGGCAAAACGAACCATTGCACAGAACTATGTCGTAATATGATCCTTCGCAACGTGTCATTTTGTCATTTTCATGTGTGCAGGATCGTCGTTTGACTTTTATGCCTTTGGATTTCTTCAAGCAATTACTTTGACAGGTGCCTTCTTCCCATTCACTCCAGTTATCATCTTCACAATACTTGAAAATGTACGGTGGTTCGATAACGGGGACGCATTCTCCGCCGCGACATTCCTTCCCGGGTGCGCAATAAGTTCCTAAAAAATAAGAGTAATTAAGCTATAAATTAATTGAGAGATCAAAGAAGAGGAACCGTACCTGGCAACGCCGGTCCCGTGAAGGAATACAAATTATTGTTAGGCGTTTCACATTGTAAGGTTTTACATATATCGAGCAACGAGACTACGTTGGCATTTTTGTCGTGAAAAAATATTTCGCATTGTGCTTTGGCGGTCCATTGTCTTCCGGGTAAATTTTCATACCGCGAATGGTCATATGCGTCTTCGAGATTTATCGTATGATCTCGAAGGCACTTTTTTCTGTCCCAGAGTCCTTCAGCTATATTACGACTGCACTCGGACCATGTTACTTGGCCTTGATAGAATATGTCAGATGACATTATGTATTTGTATGTATCACATGGTTTTGTATAATCGGAATCGTGTTCCATTCCTAAACTTGAAAACAAAGAAATTATTAACTTTGCTTTACTTAGCAATAATTATTGTAAATATTTTTATATTAAAGTTTGTTAATAATTAACTTACTGAACATTTAAAAGAACAAATTTCTTCAAAAGTTTTTTGACTTTCTGCTTTTTAATTGTACAAATGAATAAATTTTTATAAAATATATTATTTATATTTAATTTATACTTAAAACTATTATAAACTTACACATGGCCGATCTCATGAGCAGCAACGAGAGACGATGCAAAACCTGATGTCAGATCATGTGCAATACCGAATTCTACTACGGCGCACGAAGTATTTGATTCGCACACTTCAGTGGGGTTGGCTAGTCCTGCTAAGTAGTCGTCTTTGTGCAAAATATTTAGTCCGGTTAAATAAAGACCAAGGTCCCAGTGACGCGAATTATTGTCGTTCGGAGAATTGCGAGTGTCCAAGTAATTGCAGAACGAATCGAGCAGTTCTACAGCGCTGCCTCCATAAGTTGGCAAATCTGACGGTTGTTCATTCATAATTTCCAAATGTACCAACGAAATGTCGATGGAAACACCCAAACTAGGATGATGGTACACAGCTTGGATATTATTCACATACGCTAATATCAACATGTGCAATATTTTCTCATCATTGTGCAGAAATGACATGAAGGTACGATATGCGGCTTCGTCGAAGAAAACAGCCAGTTCTATAGTTAATTTTTTTTGCATATTTTGTACATCACGTCGCTTTAGTTTAAAATTATCCAAATTATGAAAACTGGAATCAGCAGATAATTGCAAAGATCTTTTAATTAGGTGAGGTTTGCCAAATGAAATATTCATCTTTTCTTTAACGCAAAAATCGTCAACTGAGGACAAAGACGCATAGTCTTTTTGCAAAGGTCTAATTTCCAAAGTGTCGTATTTCAAAAAAATAAATCCTTTCTGCATTTGAAAAATATACATTAATGTTCTAGCGTGTCATGCTTATGTATATATAAAACAAAGAGAAATTAATATTAAAAGTAAAAACTGTTTTTTACGTGGTTTCACTGACCCAACCATGTTCTTGACAAAAATTTATGGCCGCTGTGCTGATTTGATCTTTATGAACGTAATAACAAGGATTTGATGTGTATAATTGCGATAGATCTTCTGTGATGTTTTTTGCGTCATGTTTCCATACTTTAAACATAGACGATACTATTTGATCGTTTCTATGCAGGCTTAACTGAATTTGTTTTCCAAAAATTTTCAGAGTTAGTGGTATCTGCAAATTGAAAATCATTGAATAAAAAACTTGATTATTCTTTAATAATATTTTAGACATTGCGCAATAAATAAAGCAGTTCAGTAAAACGCACGTACTTTTTCTGCGCTTGTCGGATTCCACGCCGGCAACAATATTCTTTCAATATCTTGCGTGATATACGCGTATGTTTGATTTAATAAAAATATTAATACCAATTTTGATATGAAAAACATGTTGTTTTTCGCGTTTTTTAATCTTTAGATAATTGAAAATGTTTTATTAACGTCTTTTTATATGTGAAATTACTTTATTACATACATACGTTATAATACTTTTATGTCCGTTGGATCTTCTGATCGCGTATAGAACAGACACTGGCATTTACATTTAGGAACATTATGTGTCGTGACACTTATTGTATATATACATTCTATGCTACATATACAGGCTGTTCCAAATATATGCATATTAACAAGTTATTGTTTGTTCATTTTACTAAAATATAAAGTAATAAAATGTATATAGGTACATTTTGTTGGTTCGTCCTTAATTATCGTATTTCTTTTTGTTTTTTTTTTTTTCAATTCTGAATTATATATTTTTTATATGAAATTTGCAATAACGTGGGAGTTAAAAAAAAATGCTTTATGAATTATGGTTTATATGTGTAAAATATGTAACATTATTCACAAATATTTTCAGCAATATTCGCAAACGTTAAAAAAATTTTAATTAATAACAATTTTAGAAAGACTAGAACATAACATTGTGCAGACCAATTTAGCATTATAAATATCATATTATATATTATTAAATATAAATATCATATACTATAGAAATAAAATGTAATTAGATACTGATTTACTGATTAACTAAAAAATATTGATCTTTATCCATTTCTGACATCGTGCCATATTCGGAGCTTATGAGTTCAATAAATAAATATTTTTACTAAATACGTAATATTGAAATTTTTAAATTAAGTGATAAAATTTTCTTCTTTTTCTTTGTTTATTAATTGTTTTTGTATAAATATTAATAAAATATTGACAGACCATTAAAATATATAACGTAGTGAGTGACGTTACCGTTCTCGTTCACTTTCTCTCGACACATTATCTCAAACGAAATAAAAATACCCTCACTTTATTCAGCTATTAATTTGACCGTTTTGCAAACATGTTAATTATTACTTATTATTTTTTGTTATTTCTTTTACGTTTTTTCTAATGCTAATCGACGGAATTCCTTTTCGTATGTTGAAAAGTCGACGTAATTCTTCGTTTATTTGTTTATATGTTAAGCAAGGTATCAATGATATATAAAACAGGTATTCATAACGACAGATTGTCCGATCAAATATTCGGTATCAAACAAATGGACCAACTATTCGAGACTGATTTTCGATCGTTTCATATTTTTCTCTTTTTTCGATTTTTGTTGACAGACGTCGACAATTGTTCTTAAGAATATCTTTCCGGCAGACAATAATGTTGGCGGCAGTAATAATCCAGACCATCTTTATGGTGACACCACGTTCCATCTGTGTAGTATGGATCGATATTCAAGTTGAGCATTTCTAAGCGTGGTGCGTAGAGAGCAGATGAATTCTTTCGTCGGCAATGTATAGTACAGGCCTTCCACGGTTTCGCGACGTTATGAGGGACCTGAACTCCCGGTCCCGCTTCCAGTTCGACATTATATGCTGCACGCTTCATAATTCGGCTGAATTTAATGCATTTATTGGTAGTTAACTTGGAGATTGTCGTGCGATTTTCAGGGCAAAACGAATCATCGCACAGAACCATGTCGTAATATGGTCCTTCGCAACGTGCCATTTTGTGACTTCTATGTGTGCAAGATCGTCGTTTGACTTTTATGCCTTTGGATTTTTTCAAGCAACTACTTTGACAGATGCCTTCTTTCCATTCACTCCAATTATCATCTTCACAATACTTGAAAATGTACGGTGGTTCGATAACGGGGACGCATTTTCCGCCGCGACATTCCTTCCCGAGTGCGCAAGTAGTTCCTAAAAAAATTATGATTAATTAAGCTATAAAGTATTTGAGAGATCAGCAACAGAAAACGTACCTTCTATCGCCGGTCCCGTGAAGTAGTATCCTTTAATTTGAGGCGTGTCGCATTGTAAGGTTTTACATATATCGAGCAACGAGACTGCGTCCGCATCTTTGTTACGATAATATATTTCGCATTGTGCTTTGGCAGTCCATTCTCTTCCGGGTAAATCGTGATAAATTGAATGGTCATATGCGAGATTTTCCTGTCTCGTACGATCTCGAAGACACTCTTTTTCATTCCAGAGTTTTTTAGCCGTATCACGGCTACACTTGGACCATGTTACTTGGCCTTGATGGAGTTTGTGACTTGACATTATGTATTTGTATGTATCACACGGAATTGCATATTCGATATCGTGTACCATTCCTAAACTTTGGAACAAATAAATTATTAATTTTGACACTATTCTTTATATTGTTTAGTTTAACTATTTTTATATTTAGAATTCAATAATAATTAACATGCTGAGCAATTAAAGAATCAAATCTATTAAAAGTAACTTTACTTTCTGCTTTGAAATTATGTAGTTTAATAAATTCTTATAAATATATCATTTATATGTAAAACTATAACATATAAACTTACACATGGCCAATCTCATGAGCTGCAACGAGGGACGATGCAAAACCTGAGGATATAGTATCTGTAGTACCAAATTCTACTATTGCGCACGACCTAATTAGATCGCATACACCATTGATTCTGGCTAGTCCCCCGGTATAATTGTCTACCGAATAAATATTTAATCCGGTTAGGTAAAGACCAACGTCCCAGTGATGCGGATCGTTGTCGTCCGGAGGGTTGATACTTTTCGCGTACTTGCAGAACGAATCGAGTAGTTTGCTAGCGTGACCGTCAAAAACTGGTAAATTTACCGGTTGTGTTTTCATAATTTTCAAATTTACCAACGAAATATCGATAGAAACACCCAAACTAGGATGATGGTACAGAGCTTGGATATTGTTCACGTACGCTAATATTAAGCGCAACATTTCTTTATCTTCTTCCAGAAAAGGCATAAACGTACGATATGCGGCTTCGTCGATGAAAACGGCCAGTTCCACAGTTAATTTTTCTTGTGTATTTCGTACATGACGTTGCTTCAGTTTAAAATTATCCAAATTATAAAAACTTGAATTAGCAAATGATTGCAATAATCTTTTTATACGATGTGGTTTGCCAAATGAAACATTAATTTCTTCTTTAACGCAAAAGTTGTCGATTAAGGAAGAAGATGCAAGGTCATCTCGCAAAGGTCTAATTATGAATGTATCGTCTTTCAGAGAAACGAATCCTTCCTACTTTTAAAAAATACGTATTTGTTTTCTTGCGTGTCAATCTTATTTCTTATATATAAAACAGAGAGGTATTGAAATTGAAAGTAAAAGTATAAAAATTTTTAAACTATTTGTTTTTCAAATGGTACCACCAGTGCCGGATTTGAGAGTGGGCGGATAGGGCGACCGCCCCGGGGCCCCCACAAACAAAACTTGATTAAAAAGAAAATTTGATTAAAAAAATCTATATATTTATATTTGATATGTTTTGGAAATGTATCAAATATTTCTTAAATATATGCCATTGGTTTCCGATGGTAATGACCGTGATGTGCATTTTGGATGCCAGAGTTTTGCAAACATTGTAGTTTGCATCATTAAATATATCTCAAATATTTGTTGTAATAATATTAAAATGTGTATTTTTAACTTTTTTAAATTTACGAATTTTTAAATGAATTTTCAATGATTCTGATCTTTTACGAATTAAGGGTCCCCACTGATTCAGCCGCCCCGGTGCCCCCACTTCTATAAATCCGGCTCTGGGTACCACTAACCCATTCAAGTTCCTGACGAAAGTTTATGACCGCAGTGCTGATACGATCTTTGTGAAGATAATAGCAAGGATTCGATGCGTTTAATTGCGATAGTTCTTCTGTGATGCTTTTTGCTTCATATTTCCATACTTCAAATGTGGACGATACAGTTTCGTCACTTTTATGCAAGTTTAATTGAATTTGTATTCCAAAAACTTTCAAAGTTAATGATATCTGTCAATTAAATATCAATGAATAAAAGGTTTAATAATTCAGAAATAATATTTGAAACGTTGAGCAATGAATAAAGCAGTACAATAAAACTCACGTACTTCGTTTGCGCTTGTTGGATTCAATGCCGGAAGTAATATTGTTTCGATATCTTGCGTGATATACGCGTACGTTTCATTTAATAATATTATTAACAGTAATTTTGACATGGAGAACATGTTGTTTCTCGCGTTTTTTAGTTTGAGTATTTGAAATTGTTTAAATAACGTCTTCTTACAAATCAAATAACTTATTACATACATACGTTATACTACTCTCACGTTCGTTGTATTTTCTGATCGCGTATAGAACACATACTGGCGCCTAGGTTTGGAAGTATAATTTGTATTGTGTGACATTTATTGTATATATTCCTTCTTTGCTACATTTACAAGTTGTCCTAATAAAATGTATATATATTTAACAAGTTAATCTCTATCCATTTTACTTGTAAAACATGTAAAACTTGTAAAAATATATACAATAAAATGTATGTACATTCTATTGGGACACCCTATACACATATCTTCTTTCAGTTCCGATTTGTATAATTTACATATAATATTTGCGATAAGAGTGGAATTTCAAAAAATATGAATTGTGATTGATATGTAGAATATGTAACATTATTGTTAAACATTTTAAATATTATTTTCAAACTAGGAAAATGTTAATTAACGACAATTTTAGAATGGTTAGAGCATGACATTGCTGGCGCAATTAAGCTTAATAAATATTGAGATATTTTATAAAACTAAAATATAATTGGTTACTGATTTTCTAGTTTACACATATATCGAAATTTATCTGTTTCTAAGATCGTTCGGTATTCGATAACGGAGCTCACATAAGTTTAATAGATAAAAAAATAAATATTTCTACTAAATAAGTTTGAATGCTTTTTTACTTGCAGAATGAAATTTTCTTTATTTTCTTCGTTCGTTAATCGTTTATATATAAATATTAATGAAACATTAGTAGACTATTAAAATACATAACATAGTAACGTAATGGTTGTCGTTCATTCTGTGGACACAATGTCTCATACGGAATAGAAGTACTTTTACTTTATTTCGCTATTTATTTTCGCGTTTTGTAAACATATTAAATGTTACCTATTATTTTTTTGTTATTTTTTCATGTTTATGCTATTGCTAATCGATGGAATTAGTTTTAGATGCTGATAATTCGACGTAACTCTTAGTCTAGTTCTCTTTATTAATTAAATTGTGGATAATACGCAAAACAGGTATTAACAACGACAGATTGTGAGATCGAATATTGGGTACTAAACGAATTGAACAACTATTCTAGACTGATGCGCGTTTCATAATTTTCTCTTTTCTCAATCCTCGTTCACACACATCGATAATCTTTCGACAATTATACTGAAGAGTAGTCTACCGGCCGACAATAATGTTGTTGGCAGTAATAATTCTTACCATTTTTATTATGACACCACGTTCCATCTGGAAAGTATGGATCAAAATCAAATTTGATCATTTTGGAGCGTAGTTCTTTGACAAAAGAATCATTTTTTAGGCAATGTATAGTACAGGCTTGCCATGGTTCCTCGACATTATGAGGGACCTGCCTTCCTGGCTGTTTTCCTAGTTTGCCCTTAAGTTCGTATGTCATATTGCTAAATTGGATGCACATCTCAGTAGCAAAGTCGGAATTTGTCTTGCGTTTACTAGCATTGCAAAATATCGAGGCATCGCACAGAGCCACGTCGTAATATGGCTCTTTGCAACTTGCCGTTCTACGAATTCCATGTTGGCAAGAACGTCGTCTGATTATTACGCCTTTAGATTTTTCAAGACAACTCCTTCGACAGGTGTCTTCTTCCCATTTACTCCAATTATCATAATCACAATACTCGATAGGCGGTTTCTGCACGGGCACGCATTCTCCGCCGTGACATTCCTTCCCGGGTGCGCAATAAGTTCCTAAAAAATAAGAGTAATTAAGCTGTAAACTAATTGAGAGATCAAAGAAAAGGAAACGTACCTGGCAACGCCGCTCCCGTGAAGGAAGACAAATTACCTTTAGGCGTTTCACATTGTAAGGTTTTACATATATCGAGCAACGACACTACGTTCGCATTTTTGTCTCGAAAATATACTTCGCATTGTGCTTTGGCGGTCCATTGTCTTCCGGGTAAGTCTTCATAACGCGAATGATCATATACGTCTTTGAGATTTATCGTATGATCTCGGAGGCACTCTTTTGTATCCCAGATATGTGTAGCTATCATTTGACTGCACTCGGACCATGTTACTTGATCGTAACGCAATTTGAAAGGTGACATTATGTGTTTGTATTTATCACATAATGGCATCATGTAATCAGTATCGTGTCTCAATCCTAAGCTGTGGAACAAATAAATTATTAATTTTGACAATATGCTTTACTTTGCATTGTTTATGCTAAATATTTTTTTATTAAAATTTATTAATAATTAACTTACTGAACATTTAAAAGAACAAATTTCTTCAAAAGTTTTTTGACTTTCTGCTTATTAATTGTACAAATAAATAAATTTTTATAAAATATATTTATATTTAATTTATACGTAAAACTATTATAAACTTACATATGTCCGATCTCATGAGCAGCAACGAAAGATGATGCAAAACCTGATGTCAGAATATGTGCAGTACCGAATTCTACTATGGCACACGCAGTATTTGATTCGCACACTTCAGTGGCGTTGGCTAGTCCTACGACGTTGTAGTCCGGGTGCGTAATATTTAGTCCGGTTATGTAAAGACCAACGTCCGAGTGACGCGGATCATTGTCGTCCGAAGGATTGCGAGTGTCCAAGTAATTGCAGAACGAATCGAGCAGTTCTACAGCGCTGCCTCCATAAGTTGGCAAATCTGACGATTGTTCATTCATAATTTCCAAATGTACCAACGAAATATCGATGGAAACACCCAAACTAGGATGATGGAACGCAGCTTGGATATTATTCACATACGCTAATATCATCATGTGCAATATTTTCTCATCATTGTGCAAGAGAGGCATAAAGATATTATATACGGCTTCGTCGACAATAATAGCCAATTCTACAGTTAATTTTTCTTCCATATTTTGTACATCACGTCGCTTTAGTTTAAAATTATCCAAATTATGAAAACTGGAATCAGCAGATAATTGCAAAGATCTTTTAATTAGGTGAGGTTTGCCAAATGAAATATTCATTTCTTCTTTAACGCAAAAATCGTCAATTGAGGACAAAGACGCATAGTCATTTCGCAAAGGTCTAATTTCCAGTGTGTCGTCTTTCAGAAAAATAAATCCTTCCTGCATTTGAAAAATATACATTAATGTTCATGCTTATGTATACATAAAACAAAGAAAAATTAAGGTTAAAAGTAAAAACTGTTTTTCATGTGATTTCACTGACCCAACCATGTTCTTGACAAAAATTTATGGCCGCTGTGCTGATGTGATCTTTGTGAAGATAATAGCAAGGATCCGATGCATTTAATTGCGACAGTTTTTCTGTTATGCTTCTTGCGTCATATTTCCATAATTTAAACTTGGATGATACAATTTGGTCGTTCCTACGCAGATTTAACTGAATTTGTTTTCCCAAGATTTTCAGAGTTAGTGGTATCTGCAAATTGAATAACGATGAATAAAAGACTTGATAATTCTTGAATAATATTTTGGACACTGCGCAATGAATAAAGCAGTACAGTAAAAGTCACGTACTTCTTTTGCACTTGTCGAATTCCATGTCGGCAGCAATATTCTTTCAATATCTTGTGTGATATACGCGTACGTTTTATTTAATAAAAATATTAACACCAGTTTCAATATGAAAAACATGTTTTTCGCGTTTTTTTAGTTTGAGTATTTGAAAATGTTGAAATAACTTCCTTTTTATATATCAAATTACTTATTACATACATACGTTATTCGTTTCTCCTGTTTGTTGTATCTTCTAAACGAGTATAAGACGCGTACTGGCATCTGCGTTTAAATCAATATCATTTATCTTGCGTGACATTGATTATATATATTTCTTTTTTGCTACATTTATAGGGTGTCCTAGAAAAATGCATACACATTTTACAACTTAATGTCCATTTTACTTGTAAAAACATATGGTAATAAAATGTATATACTTTTTATTGGTTTATTTTATACATATGTTTTTTTCTTTTAGTTCTGAATTATGCATTTTACATATATTATATGTGATAACGATGGAATTTTGAAAAATTGAATTTTGATAGATGTGTAAAATATGTAACATTATTCACAAATATTTAGAATAATATTTACACACATTAAAAAAATTTTAATTAATGACAATTTTACAAAGATTAAAACATAACATTGCAAGCACAATTTGGCCTTATAAATAACAAATATATTATGAAGAAAAATAACTCTGATCACTGATTTACTGATTATCCGACGTAGAAAATATATTGAAATTTGCGTTTCTGAAATTTTTAATTTACGGAATAAAATTTTTTTAATTTTTTTCGTTTATTAATCGTTTATGTATAAGTATTGATGAAACATTGACAGACTGTTAAATTACATAACATGATGAGTGACGTCATCGTTCTCGTTTATTTCTCGACACAATGTTTCGGTATAATACGGTATAAAAATATCTTTACTTTATATAGCTATTTATTTTATCGTATCTTAAACGTGTTAATTATTGTCTATTATTTTTTATTGATTATTTAACGTTTTTTAAATGCTAGTCGACGGAATTCGTTTTAGATGCTGATTTGTCGTAATTTTTCGTCCAGTTTAAGTTTTTGTTAATCAAAGTATCTATGATAAACAAAGCAAATGTTAACAACGACAGATTGTCCGATCAAATTTTCGGTAACAAACGAATTGATCAATTATTCAAAATTGATTCACGCGTATTTCGTAAAATAATTTTTTTTTTTCGATTTTCAAATATCGATAATTTCTTAACAGAGATTTTTTAACTTTTATAAGAGTAGCTTTCTGGCAGACAGTAATGTTGCTGACAATAATAATTCTATCCATCTTTTTCGTGACACCACGTTCCATCTGGAAAGTATGGATCGAAAACAAAGTAGGGCGTTTCCAAGTGTGATGCATAGAGAATAGGTGAATTTTTTATGCGGCAATGTATAGTACAAGCCTTCCATGGTTTCTCGACATCATAAGCGGCCTGTCGTCCTGGCTCAAAAAATTCTGTTGCAAACGTCAAGTTCAACTTGATTACTATTGCGTGATAGCTGAATCGCCTGCATATTTCTGCAGCAAATAAGTCGATGCTCTTGCGTTCCTGAGTACAGAGTAAATAATCATCGCACAGAACCACGTCGGAATATGGCCCTTCGCAATTCGCCGTTCTGCGACTTCTATGTTTGCAAGATCGTCGTCTGACTCTGACGCCTTTAGATTTCTTCAAGCAACTACTTTGACGGGTGCCTTCTTTCCATTCACTCCAGTTATTATTTTCACAATACTTGAAAATGTATGGTGGTTTGATAACGGGCACGCATTCTCCGCCACGGCATTCTTTCTCGTGTGCGCAATGAGTTCCTAAAAAATGAGATTAATTAAGTCATAAACTAGTTGAGAAGTCAGGAAAAGAAGACGTACCTTCCAACGCCGGTCCCGTGAAATAGTATTTATTAATGTGAGGCGTTTCGCATTGTAAGGTTTTACATATATCAAGCAACGAGACTACGTTTGCATTCTTGTCGCGAAAATGTATTTCGCATTGTGCTTTGGCGGTCCATTGTCTTCCGGGTAAATCGTGATAACGCGAGTGGTCATAGGCATCTTTGAGATTTATCGTGTGATCACGAAGACACTCTTTTGCATTCCAGAGTTTTACAGCAATATCACGACTACACTTGGACCATGTTATTTGGCCTTGTTCACCCATGACACCGGACATAATGTGATTGTTTGCATCACATCATATTGAATTGTGTAGCATTCCTAAGCTTTGGAATAAATAAATTATTAATTTTGACAATATGCTTTAGTTTGCATTGTTTATTTTAAATATTTTTATATTAAAATTTGTTAATAATGAACATTTAAAAAAACAAATCTTTTCAAAAGTTTCTTTACTTTGTTTTTTTAAATTATGCAATTAAATAAATTTTTATAAAACATACTACTTTTACATAATTTGTACGGAAAACTGTTATACATTAACTTACACATGGCCGATTTCATGAGCAGCAATGAGAGAAGATGTAAAATTCGAGGATTGAAGACGTGTAGTACCGAATTCTGCAATGGCGCACGATGCATTTGATTTGCACATGCCACCGGGGTAGGCTATGCCATTAGTGCCGTTGTTTGTCGAATAAATGTTTATTCCGGTTAGGTAAAGATCAACGTCCCAGTGATGTGGATCATTGTCGTCCGAAGGATCGCGAGCTTTCGCATATTCGCAGAACGAATTGAGCAGTTTGCTAGCGTTGCCGCCAAAAAACTGGTAAATTTGGCGGTTGTTCTTCCATAATTTTCAAATGTATCAATGAAATATCGATAGAAATACTCAAACTCGGATGACGGAATACAGCTTGAATATTATTCACATACGCTATCATCATGCGCAACATTTCTTCATTTTCGTTCAGAAATGGCATGAAGGTACGATATGCAGCTTCGTTGAGGAAAACAGTTCTATAGTTAATTTTTCTTGCATATTTTGTACATCACGTCGCTTTAGTTTAAAATTATCTGAATTATGAATTCTTTTAATTAGGTGAGATTTGCCGAATGAAATATTAATCTCTTGTTTAACGCAAAGATCGTCGATTAAGGAAAAAGACGAATAGTCATTCCGCAAAGGTTTAATTTCCAATGTGTCGTCTTTCAGAAAAACGAATCCTTCCTACTTTTACAAAATATGCATTAATGGTCTTATGTGTAATGCTTATATTTGAAACGAAGAGAAATTAAGATTAAAAGTAAGAACTATGTGCTTTTCATATGGTTACACTGACTCATCCTTGTTGCTGACAAACGTTTATAGACTGATGTGATCTTTGTGAAGATAATAGCAAGGATTTGATGCATTTAATTGCGACAGTTCTTCTGTTATGCTTCTTGCGTCATGTTTCCATACTTTAAACTTGGACGATACAATCTGGTCGTTCCTACGCAGATTTAACTGAATTTGTTTTCCAAAAATTTTCAGAGCTAGTAGTATCTGCAAATTGAATAACAATGAATGAAAAACTTGATTATTATCGAATAATATTTTGGATACTGCACAATGGATAAAGCATTACAGTAAAAGATACGTACTTCTTTTGCGCTTGTCAAATTCCATGTCGGCAGCAAAGTTCTTTCGATATCTTGCGTGATATACGCATACGTTTTATTTAATAAGAATATTATTATCAATTTCACTTTGGAGAGCATGTAGTTTCTCGCGTTTTGTCACTTTGAGTACTTGAAAATATTTAAATAACGTTTTTTTATATATTAATATTATATACATACGTTATAATACTCTCACATTCGTCGTATCGTCTGGTCGCGTATAAAGCACATACTGACTGGGTTTACGATTATCATTCGTGTGACACTTATTGTATATATATTTCTCTATGCTACATATATATATATGTATTTTTCTTTTTGGTTCTGAATTGTGTATTTCTTATATAACACTTGCAATGACGGTGGAATTTTAGAAACTGCGAATTATGATCGATATAGAATATGTAACATTATTCACAAACATTTTGAATATTAATCACAAACATTAAAAAATTTTTACTTGTGTAACCCATTGGCAAATGTAGTGAAATCAATTTGAAATTTTTTTTTCGAGAGCGATGATACTTGTATAATTTGTCTCATTCAGGCTATCAAGATCGTTTCTTTAAAAATTTAAGAAAAATTTATTGTTTTAGTTGAAGGACAAAGGATTTAGCTGATTTGGAAATTGATGTGACCGCAATTTGGGTTTCTATACAGATGCAAAAACAGTTAAAGTCTTGAGTGGGTTATTAAATTGAACAAAATGTTTATGATTTTGAAACATTTTTTTTACTTTAATAATATCAAAAAGATTTACATACTATATTACAAAACGCCAAATTTATTGGAGTTATTTATTGGGAAAATACAATGTCTTTTCCTATTTTATCTTTACGTCAAATTGAATATAGCTGCTTTTGCATATGGACTACTCAGATATATTTTTTTCAGTTTAAAAGGCAATAGAAAGTAGATGACTGTTGATATTTGATTTGTGTACTTTTTATACGAATAGACGTGCAAAAACAAAACGGTGAGACCTAAGAGTGCGGCTTTCTCGAGGGTTTTTCTTTGGTCTTAAATGTCGCGTATCGCGAAAAACCAATGACGATTAATCAAGTCGGGAAGAACGTCGCGGCGTAATCCGTCATCTACGAGGTTATTAATTATTTCTGTCGGTTTTACGTGCCGCGTCCGTCTGCTGGTCTCTCCATCCACCGCTGTATTTTCTCACCATCTCTAACAATAAAATCCCTTTATCTTGAATAAATTAATGCATTTAATGTTTTATTATTTGATAGTACTCGGGGACAAATGAGGTAATATCTTAAGCGGATACGAAACGTTGCTCATTCTGTATTATAGCGCCATAAGATTTACTACTTGGTGTTGCAAATAGTTAAACGGCATTAACGTGAACATCGTTATTCGCGTTGGCAACCCCATCAAGAGAATGATAAATTTTCAGAAAGATTGCTGCTAAGGGTTATAAACACATATAATTTTCCCGTATCATTCTCGATAAAATATTCATCACTCTTCTCTCAGTGTCATCAATTATCGCGGCATTTGAAATTCGAGACTATTCTCTTTAATTCTCCAGGTAGCTGAAACACAACAACGAGATTATCGGTGTCGGAAATAATACGCAATGTGCAGTTATACTTATGTTTTACAATCGCGCGAGTCACATCGCGAGCAAATTTTATTTTGTGAAAAGATGAGTAGTCGGGAGAAGCGAACGGGATTAAACGACGGGTGGAAAGATTTAAGATAAAACAAAAACGACACGGCTGACTCGCACGGCGCATCGAACGTACTAACTCCGGGAGTGCAGCTCGTGCGTGAGCGACATAATAACATTTTGGGAAATGGGATGAGAGCGATTCGACGAGATGGAGATAGTGGCGGCGAACGTAATGAGGATGCGACGAGGCAAGAGGCAATATAGGCGGTCGGCCCGGGGATGGGATCGCTTCCGGTGAGGCCACTAGGAGAGACTGACGGAGAGTCAAGGCTTACAAAGGGGAAACGAAGACGAAGGTGTGCGAAAGCAGACGCAAGGAGAAGCATTTCGGCTTCTTCCACGTGGGCCGCGCACAATCGATCATTACGTTAAGGCCCTCTCAAAGCTCCCGACTGACCGGTCGTCGAATACGCTAGAGAGGCAGAGATGACTTTAACAAAGAGAGCGTCAAAGGAAGTGATACCGGCAGGTGCGCGTCCTTCGAACGACACAACGAAGCGATATGTTCATTATAGCGCGCGAATCTGGAACGGACTTGAATGCCGTTTCGAAGCTTTCATCCGTTAACGCTCGTTATCAGATAAATCGTTTAGTTGCTATAGAATTGATTTAAAAGGTAATCCTGCTTCAACCGAGGGGTTAAATAATCAAAGTATTAAGTAAATTTGTCCATGCGGTAATAAAATGCTTAAATTGAGTTAAGCTTTGTAATTATATTGTGACTGAAGTTTAAGGACGATATCATTTGCTACTTAGCCAATCTGTTATTCTCATTGTGAATAGGCGGTTAAATCGATATTATGTTAATACAGTACCATTGATATTCTGTTAGTACGGTATACAAAGAAATTCACGATAAAGAGGAGAGGTTTGCAATACCGAGAGGTAAATAAGAATGGATTTCCTTTGTCCTGCGTGCTTGGAGACACAGTAGGGTCGTGTTCTGGTTGGAGTGCTGTCAGAGTAGACGCGTTATTGCGATATTGCGAGTGTCCGTATTGCGAAACAAAAGAGAAAGATTACAAAGAAAATATTACAGGCCTTGTCAGCAGTAATAATTAATAAATGCAAAATTTATTGATGGTCACATAGTCGAACAGGTAGGGTTGTACAATGGCAGTGTTATACAAAAACGAGTAGAATAAATGTTGAATAAGTCATGTTTAAAGAGCAGAATTTCATGCCGGTCTAGCTAAGTGCATAACCATTATCCATAATTTAGTTTCTAAAAGCTTCAGAAAAGATGCACGACTTCTGAAGCATCCTGTATACATCGTGCTATCTTTTTCGGACATCAAGACGAATCTTGATGTCGCATATATCATTCTCGACGCCTCCTGCTTTAGGAACCGATGCGAGGATCTCATCTTGCGAAATTGAAATTTTCCTCGCCAAAAGTGCACTGGATTTTCATTCAGTGAATGTCGCGATTTTCAATATTTCTCGTAAATATTATCGTAAATTTGTCGTTATACGCAAATCTATTTTGTGTAATTTTATTGTCTCAACAAGAATTTCTATATCTTGAAAAATTTGTAAAACTTTTTGAGGTACGAAATGATTACGTCAAAATGTTAGTGAAAGGTAGAAGAAATATCAAGCACAGCAAATTTGACAGGATTTTTTTCTATACGGTGGATAAATGTTTCAAATTTTTTGAAGTAGTTTTATACGATAAATTAAATTTTATTAAATTTTTCAAAGTTTTTCAAATAAAATGAGTTTCACAATGTATAAGATATTTCTTCTTTTTCATGTCGAGATTTCAAATAAAAAATTTCAACAAGAGAATGTGCTTTTTGCAGTGGAAATTGATGTTCTTAGAACTCACAGGCGGTTAACACAAATACATCCAATTCAGTCACTCGTTTAGGTGAATACTGGACGTTTTGCAGTCGCAGCTCGAATGGAGCATGCTGCAATGAATACGAACACCTGTTATAGGCACCTGTGAGCTTTGAATATAGTCCGTATCGAGCCTGGTCAGTAAGCTTTGTTGTCACGTGCTCACTCCAGAACACCCTTGACCATATTTGAGCTTTTAGCTGGATATTCGATTATTGGAACTGCTTTATTTTGCTTCAGAGCGGTACACAGTTCTACAATTTTTAGCTCGGTGATAATTTCAGGTATTGTTCGCCGCATATAATCGCAGGAAACAAAAATTCATGTTCTTGAACGATCAGTTTTTTTTTTCTAGCGTCAATTCACACATCAGACAGTCCTTGTAAAAATTCTGAAAAAAAGTTGACTAATCATCATTTCGTTAGAAGAATGCTCACCAACTTCTCCTCGCATGTCGTTTATCATAGACAGCGCGATTTTTCGCGTTCTATTTTCATTTCCCTTTATCTCGGATGCGAGATAGTCGGCGTCGATACCGGTTGTAAATTAAATAAGAGCACTTTCACTGGCGATTGCGCTCGTGCTTTCGAGATCGAAAATATTCGACATTTCCGTCAATCTCAATTTATCCGACGGCATCGGCCCCTGATTCGTACATCCAATTTTCCTCGCATCCGTCGATGGCCGCCGACGCCACCGCCTTCGGGGAAAACATGGTCTGTTCGAACGATCGTTTTACGGTGAAATTCACGGGGAAATTCGCGAGCGCGACCTATCATGGAA